TTTTTTTTTTTTTTTTTTTTTTTTTTTTTTTTTTTTTTTTTTTTTTTTTTTTTTTAGACAGCTTATTTAAGAACTTTTATAATATCTTAAAAATTTAATAAAAAAAATTTTATAAGAAATATATTTTTTAAAAAGATCTAATTAATATATTTTTTTTTTTTTAAATATGAAGAACTATAGAATTATTATTAATATACTTTTTTAAAATAAAGAAGTTATAACTTTTGAATTTTTATTAGATATATTAGTTTTCTCTCTTTTTCTTTCTTTTCTTTTTTTTTTTTTTTTAATTGGTAATAAGTTTTCATATTTATTACAAAAAAAAAACAAAAAAAAAATTTTTAAGATGAATTAAATAAATTAAAATATAAATATGTCATTTATCAAACATTCTTCACGATATTCTTCTAAAAAAAGTTTTCCTTATGATAAAGAATTATCGTCTACAAGTACTAATATAATATTAAAATAAATTTAATCTATTAATTATTCCTTCTTTTTTCTATATCATCAAAATAAATGTAGCATATTTATATATTTTATTATTTTATTTTTTATTTTATTATTATTTTTTTTTTTTTGTATTACTATATTTCTTTTATTTTTTATTATAGCAGCACAAATAAATAAAAACAGAGAAGAAATAATAAAAAATAAAGTTTACTGCCCAATTGAATTAAAAAATGTTTATAAACTTCTAGAAGATAGTGATCAATTACTAAAAAATGTAATTTAATATATAATGTATCAAAATATTTATATAACTTCTTATCCATTTAAACATTTTTTTTTTTTTTTTTTTTTTTTTAGAAAGATTGTAATTTGGATGATTTGATATTACACAATGACAAAATAAGCGAATTAATAACTTTATGTGAAAATTATAAAGTTAATATTAGTAATCAAAATAAACCAGAATTAAAAAAAACGTACAATTCTATTGAACAAAATTTGCATTATTTAAATAAGCATATAGAAACAGCTAAAAAAGATAGTTTGATCTTAAAAAAAAAGTTGAAGAAATCAACAGATCCTTTATATTTCTCTAATTTAGAACAAAAATATAAAAAAGTGTGTTTTGATATAGAAAATACAAAAAAAAGAATAAAATTTTTAAAAGACAGCATAAGGAAAAATGAAAAGTTATTAGATTCTAATAAAAAAAAACCAAATAAAATTGCATTAGAAAAAGAATATAAAAATTTATTAAATCAACAATCTACTTTATGTTCTAGATTAATACAACTGCAAAATGCTAACAAATTATATGAAGATAATATATGCAAGTAAATTATATAATTATTTTCAACTATTTCTTTAAATATACATATTTCGTTTTATTTTATTTTATTTTATTTTTTTTTTTTTTTGCCATTTTATAGGATAGATGAACAATTTGAAGAAATAAAAAAAAAAATTAATGAATTTAATATAAATAAAGATAAAGATAATTTTTTTGATATAGAAAATGAAAATTCAAAAGAAAATTTAGAAAAAAGGATTTTTATATTAAATACAAAAAGAGATGATTTAAAAAAAGAAAAAAATAATATTATAAATAATTTAACTAATACCCTTGCTAAATTAAAAAAACAAATATCAAATTTAGAAAATGAAAAAATAAACTTACTAAATGAAGAAAAAAATAATTTAGATAAATATCATATTTTAAAAAAAACATTAAATACAAAATTATTGAAGATTAATAAAAATGAAAACAAAGAAAAACAAATTGTAAAAAAGAATTGGCTTGAAAAAAAAGAAGATAATGAAAATTCAAAATATGATATGAACACAAAAAAAATTAACGAACATAATTTAACCAATAATAAATCTATTGGAGGAGAAAATTTTATTGAAACTTTATTAGAAGAAAAAAATGTTTATGTAAAAAATAATAAAGACACTTATTTAAAAAAAGAATATGTAGAATACAACCAGCCAGAAAATTCTAATTACAACAAAAACTTTAATAAAACAAATGATTCTGAAAAAAAAAAAAAAAAAAAAATTTACTTGCCACAGTTTGAAGATGATATACTTTTAAAACTTCAAAATAAGATAAATGAAAAATTACAACAAAATGAAAAAAATAATTTAGAAAAAGAAGAAGACTCAAAAGTTATAAAAAAACAATACAGTATAGATAATTTAGTAATTAAACAAAAAGACACGAAAATATTTAATGAAATGAATGTAGAAAGTGAAAATATATTCTATAATGAACTAGAAGAAAATAATAAAAGTGTAAAAAAAATTATAATAAAAAACAAAAATAATGAACTTTATGAAAAAAAGAATAACAAAATGCACAAAAATGTGAATGATGTAATACATAGTAATGATAATGAAAAAAATAATGAAGTAAAAGATAAAACAGTTCAAAAATTAGAAAATGAAATGAGTAAAGAAATTAATGATGAAATAAATGATGAAATCAGTAAAGAAATTAATGATGAAAATGATAATCAAATAGATAAAGAATTAAATAATGAAACAAATGATGAAATAGATGATAAAAATGATTATGAAATAGATAAAGAACTAAATAACGAAATAAACGATGAAATAAATGATGAAATTAATGATGAAATTAATGATGAAATTAATGATGAAATTAATGATGAAATAAATGATGAAATAAATGAAGAAATAAATGATGAAATAAATGATGAAATTAATGATGAAATTAATGATGAAATTAATGATGAAATAAACGATGAAATAAATGATAAAATAAATGATGAAATAAATGATGAAATTAATGATGAATCTAATGATGAAATAAATGATGAAATTAATGATGAAATTAATGATGAAATAGATGATGAAATTAATGATGAAATAGATGATGAAATAAATAAAGAGCTAAATAACAAAATAAATAATAAAATAGATGATGAAAATGATGATGAAATAGATAAAGAACTAAATAACGAAATAAATAATAAAATTAATGGTGAAATAAATGATGAAATAGAAAATGAAACGAATAATGAAATTAATGGTGAAATTAATGATGAAATTAATGATGAAATTAATGATGAAAATGATAATCAAATAGATAAAGAACTAAATAAAGAACTAAATAACGAAATAAATGATGAAATAAATGATGAAATTAATGATGAAAATGATAATAAAATAGATAAAGAATTAAATAACGAAATAAATGATGAAATAGATGATAAAAATGACAATCAAATTAATGATGAAATGAGTAAAGAAATTAATGATGAAATAAATGATGAAATTAATGATGAAAATGATAATAAAATAGATAAAGAATTAAATAACGAAATAAATGATGAAATAGATGATAAAAATGGTAATCAAATTAATGATGAAATAAATGACAAAGTAGATAATGATATTAACTATAAAAATGAAAATGAAATAAGTAATGAGATTAATAATGAAATAAGAAATAATATTAATGATCAAATGGATAAAGAAAACGATGATGAAAAAGATACTCATATGAATAATGAAATTAATAATCAAACAGAAAATGAATTAAATAATGAAATAGACAATGAAAATGATAATAAAATAGATAAAGAACTAAATAATGAAATTAATTTGGAAAAAGATGAAGAAACTAACGATGAAAATAATAATAAAATTAATAAATACAATAACATGTAAATGAATAAAAATAAATTTCATGAAGCAAAATTTAAATAAAATGAAGAATTAAAAAACAAAAAAAATGAATTATAAGTATAATAATAAAAATGTTAATAAAAAAAAGGGGTATAAAAAACAAAGTTAATAATAAAAAAATATATTATATGTGTAAGTATAACTTAAAGTATATATTTCTAACTAATTAATATTTTTGAAGAATCTATAATATATATACATTATTATTATTTTTCAAATATAACATAAACATATTTTTATTCATCATGTATAACAATATTCTTTATTAGTTTATTTTTCTAATTATTCACTTAATAGTTTTAACATTGTCACATTAATTTTGTAACATGAATTTTTGTATATAGTTATATTTTCCTCAAATAACATTCATGAAATAATAATTTTTTTTTTTTTTTTTTTTTTTTTTTTTTTAAATACTAACAATATTTTATAAAATACAATGATAATATTATTCTTATTTATTTTTATTCCCTCTCAAAAATATATATTTCCTATCGTGTAAAAACTTCTGTTGTTTTCTTCTTAAAATATATATATATATATAAATTTATATACTTCAAATTTTTTTTAAAAAATTATTTTTTTCTAGATATTTAAAAATATTTAAAATATGAAATATTATATTCATATAGCAAGACACTAAAGTATTTATAAAA